TGAATCATATTCCACGCTGAATCCCAACCTGGAACCTTGTGATCCTAAGGTCTTGTAAATGTGTAACAGGTTCCTTATCTGGTTCTGGATAGTAAGTTTGTTAGATCATCAAAACATAATGTAAAGTACTTATAACCAAAAAACTTGCAACCTATCACTAAGTATTGCTGATAGAGGTGATTGCTAGAGGGTGGCATCTGTACCTGTTTGAGATTTTGAGGTAGTACTGATATTTTGTTCATAGGCCTTGAAGTCCCTTTTCTTAGTTCATGCTATTACTATTTAGCCTTTTAGACAGTACTGTATTTTGGTCCAGACTCTATATTTAAATTCTGTAGAGCTACACACTCGATGACACTAGATTTGGGATGGTTTACAGTCATGTTGTTGTCATTGACTTATGTTATTTATACTATTTCGCTTCTGAGACTATTTAATTCCGTTGTTGAAATTTATTTCTGTATATTGGTTGTTGGCTTGCCTAGAAGGTAGTTTTAGGCTCCATCACGGCTCCAATGGGATTTTGGGTCGTGATAAGTTGGTATCAGAGCACTAGGTTTCTTAAGTCTCACGAGTCATGAGTTAGTCTAGTAGAGTCTTGTGGATCGGTACGCAGACGTCTGTACTTATCTTCGAGAGGCTACAGGGCTGTTAGGAAAACTTCTCTTTCTTTCATTCTCTGTCATGTGGATTTGTTTATTCCTAAGTCTGAATCTTTTCTCTTCTATTCTCTTACAAAATTTTGTCTAGTGCAGTTGAGCAGGCGTCGGTACCCTAGGCCAGGGCCGCGAGAGGCCAGGGTCGATGTAAAGGCAGGGGTGGAGCACGGGCTATAAATAGGGCCCTGCTCATGCTGTTGTGGAGCCATCGGTAGCTCCCATTGAGAAGTAGATTCCTGACAATGTGGAGCCTGTGCGACCAACTTAGGTTCCCTAGGGTTTACTTGTTTCACCAGCTGTTCGGGATGCTTTGGTCCGTATGGTTGGTTTGTCTGAAAGTTTGGCTCTGGTCAGGGCATTTCCTACTGTACCAGCTACTTCTCAAACATGGCACAGAGCACAGACTCCTACTACTGGTACCCCAGAGCAGGTGGCCTATATCAGACCCCTGGAGTGTTACCGGTTGGGGGAGTCCAGCCTATTATTGATGCGTAGCCTAAGGAGAGGCCTGCATTTTTAGCCGATGAGCTAAAGATATTGGATAAGTTCACGAATTTGCATCCTCCTCACTTTAGTGGTGCACCTTCAGAGGATGACCAAGGGTTCTTGGATCATGTCATGAGATTCTGTATAATTTGGGACTAGTTGAGTCCAATAAAGTTGACTTCACCGCCTTCCAGATGCAGGGTCCAACCAAGAGGTGGTGGCAGGTTTATGAGCTTGGCAGACCAGCAGGATCACCTGTTCTTCCTTGGGCTCAATTCTCCAGGGTCTTTTTTGGAGAAGTTTGTGCCCTAGACCAGTAGAGAGGATCTAAGGAGGTAGTTTGAGCACCTTTAGCAAGGTTAGATGTAAGTTACTAACTACGAGATGAGGTGTACAGAGTTGTCCCGTCATGCTACTTTTTGATTCCCTATATGGAGGAGAGAGTGCGGAGATTTATTAGCGGTCTTCCCCAAGTATTCGCCTTGCAATGGCTAGAGAGGCCGAGATCGGGAGTTCATTAACCAGGTTGCGGAGATAGAGCATCATATTGAGTGCATCTGCAATGAGACTAGGGAGATGATGTATGGTAGGAATAAGAGGTCTCGATATTTAGGTAGCTTTGGTGGTGCCTCATTTGGAGGCCGAGGTCAATTTGGGAGAAGCCATTTTAGTAGGCTAGCGTATTATACACCATCACCCAGTCAAGGAGCTTTGGTGCAATCTTCGTTTAGTGCACTTCTAGAGTAGGGTTCTCATCGCGCTCCATCTGTTCAAGGTTCATCGATACCAGGTTCTTTTGGTAGGTATTCTGGTTCACAGGGTCTGATTGAGGCCCTGCAGTCATTTCCGGTCAGAGGTTGCTATGAGTTTGGAGACGTGGAGCACGTCAGGAAACACTACCCCCGTCTTCGCAGAGGTTCAGGGAAGCATGGGGGTCAAACAATAATTCATGCGCCAGTTGCTTCACCACCAGTGCATCTAGCCTAGGGTGGAGGTCATCTAGGACGTCGTCGTCCTAGAGGGGGATATGAGTCTAGTCGAGGTCAAGCCAGATTCTATGCGTTCCCAAGGAGGACAAAGGCCGTTCCTTCTGATACAGTTATTACAGGTATTTTTTCTATGTGCCACAGAGATGCTTCGATATTTTTTGATCCTGGCTCTACTTATTCAAATGTGTCATCATACTTTGCTTCTTGTGTGGATATGCCACATGATTCACTTGCTACCCATGTTCATGTATCTACACTGGTTGAGGATTCTATTATGGTGGATCGAGTTTATCGGTCCTGTGTGGTCACTCTATGTGGTTTTGAGACTAGGGTAGACTTTTTATTGTTGTATATAGTGGATTTTGATGTGATCTTGGGTATGGATTGGTTATCTCCGCACCATGCTATTCTTATTGTCACGCTAAAGACCGTGGTGTTGGCTATACCGGGGTTGCAAGGTTGGAGTGGAAGGGTTCTCTTGGTTGCACTCCTAGCAGAGTTATCTCATTCTTGAAAGCTCAACGGATGGTTGAGAAGGGATGTTTGTTCGTACCTAGATTTTGTTAGAGATATTAGTGCTAATACTCTTACTATTGAGTTAGTTCCAGTAGTGAAGGAGTTTCCAGATGTGTTTCCTACAGACCTACCTGACATGCCACCTAATAGGGATATTAATTTGGCATCAGACACTTAGCCTATCTCTATTCCTCTGTATCGTATAGCTCCAGTGAAGTTGAAGGCATTAAAACAACAACTGCAAGAGTTGTTGGATAAGGGGCATATCACCTTGGGGTGCACCAATGTTATTTGTAAAGAAGAAGGATGGTTCTATAAGTTTGTGTATTGACTACCGAAAGTTGAACAAGATTACCCTCAAGAACAAGTATCTGTTGCCGCACACTGATGATTTATTTGATCATCTTCAGGGGCCTAGAGTGTTCTCGAAGATTAACTTGAGATTGGGGTATCACCAATTGAAGATTAGGGCTTCAGACATCCCTAAGACGGCTTTCAGGACTCGTTATGGCCATTATGAGTTTTTGGTGATGTTGTTTAGGTTGACTAATGCCCCAGCATCTTTCATGCATTTGATGAACAGTGTGTTCCAGCCTTACTTGGATTCTTTTATCATTGTGTTCATTGATGATATATTGGTGTATTCCCCTAGTAGGGAGGAACATGAGCAACATTTGAGGATTGTGCTTTAGACTCTAAGGGAAAAGAAGTTATATACTAAGTTCTCCAAGTGTGAGTTTTGGTCGGACTTGGTGAAATTCTTGGGGCACGTTGTGTCTACAGATGGGATCAAGGTAGATCCAACAGTTTAGAGTTGGCCTAGACCTTATACAGAGGTTCGGAGTTTTCTAGGTTTGGCTGGTTACTATCTCCGCTTCGTGGAGGATTTCTCGTCTATTGCAGCTCTATTAACCAAGTTGACTCAGAAGGGTTCTCCGTTCAGATGGTCCGACGAGTGTGAGGAGAGATTTCGGAAGTTCAATATTTCTTTGTCTACTGTATTGCCTTCAGGATCAGGGTTGTATACTGTTGCGGCCAAATGCACACGCAAGTATACGCGGTCGTTAAGTAATAAAGTGACTAGAAGTAGGATGTCGAACCTACGAGGACTTGTTATCAATTATTAACTAAATTAGACTATCCTAGTTTTCTAAACAAGAATTATACCTAAAAGTATTTGACTCTAAGCTAATTAAAATAAAGAAAAATAAATAATGAACTCTAAACAAAAGAAAAGCAGATTTTTATGTTATCAATGCGATGAAAACGATCTAGGGTCATGGGCTATCTAACAATCCTATTGTATTCTTCAATTGAATTGACTAATTAATATGTCCGGTTTATTGTTTGACGGGGTTAATATTGCTCATAAGAATCTATCGAGTTCTTACTCGCCTATTCGATTTAACCTAACATCTATATGTCTATAGAGTAGAATCAACAAGAATGCATTTGTAACTCCCGTATAATAACCAGGCAAGGCAATTCACCGCGAATCCATTCCCTGGTGCCCAGGTTCAAGAACTCGCTCTATTCAATCCTATATGCAATCTAGAATTCCCACTTTTGAGTTTAATTCTAGATTCGTAGATAGTATTTAATTGGTGATCAAGCAATCAATTAATTAAGATAAAAAAATTGAGTAAATAAACCAATACGATAAATCAACAAATCAAAATCAATATCTGAATAACAATAGTCACGAGAGAACCACAACCCTAGAACGTGAAGTTTAGATCCACATAGATATGGTAGCCAAACAACAAATCATCAAAGAAATCTAAAAATTACTTAGTTTGGCGGAAGAAAAGATGACACCCGGCCTCCACGGCGGCTCTGTGCTCTCTCTTGGTCAAAAGTTTGTGTAAAAATTATGTTTTATGACTATTTATAGATGTACGAAAAAAGCCTAGACAAAGTAATCGAGTCCAAAACCAAGAAGGAGACAAAATAGGCTTGAAACACGGACCCATGCATCGCCACGCAGAACGTGCAAAGCAGCTCTCGTTGGACTTCACGTCGCGAGGCTAAATGCACAAAGAAATCCTCGCGTCGCCAGCTATGGTGCGAGGTACCTCGTGCTTTGGAATTCTTCATGAATTTATTTGACCTCTCATCATGCTCCCGTACCTATTCAAACGCCAAAATTCAACAAAACACTTGTTAGTACCTAAAAACAAAAAGAAAAATCTAATTAAGCTAACTAAGCTATGAATTGGTTTTCCTCCCAACAAGATCCTTAGTTAACGTCATAGTATGATGAATACAACATCACAATGGGTTGCCTCCCATGAAGCGCCTGATTTAACGTCGCGGCACGACATAAATTTTTTGTTCAAGCTGGACGCTTTCATTTCCTCCTCTTTCCATGGAGTTTTTCCTTCTTGCGTGCTCTAGGAGGATCTCCTCTTTCCTCTCTAACCCTTTTCTCTTCTACCTTTACACATTCAGCTTGCAACACCACTTCTTCTAACCTGATTTTCTTTTCCATGCTACTAGGCTCCATATAAAGACCTTGCTCTATCAACTTCGATTCTACCACAGAGATCATGCATAAGTCCTCATAATGCTTAGGAAGGTTAAGCTCATTGTACACATTAAATGTGACTTCTTCATCATGCACTATCATCTTTAGCTTGTCCTCCCTCACATTAATAAGTGCCCCTCCAGTGGCCAAGAATGGTCGCCCCAAAATAATTGGAACCTCCTCATCGGCCATGTAGTCAAGAATAATGAAATCGGCGGGAAAGATGAACTTCCCCACTTGCACCAGCACATCTTCAATAATTCCTTCAGGCACTGCTAATGACCGATCTGCGAGATGTAGAGTTATAGTAGTAGGCCTTGGTGCTCCTAAGTTGAGCTGCTTGAACACCGACAATGGCATCAGATAATGCTCGCTCCTAGATCGCACAAGGCTCTACCAACCTTGTATTTTGCAATTGCCAAGGGAATTGTAAAACAACCTGAATTCTTCAACTTAGGCGGGAGCTTACTCTGTACTCTAGCACTACACTCCTCAGTAAGTGCAACCGTTTCAAACTCTGTCAACCTTCTTTTATTGACCACAATGTCTCTTAAGTACTTAGCATATTTAGGCACTTCTTGCATCACTTCTACTAAAGGAAGATTCACACGCACCTGGATCAAGATATCTAGAAACTTTTTGTACTTGGAATCATTTTTCAATTTTCGCAACCTTTAAGGAAAAGGCAGTGGTGGCCTTACCTCTATCTCTTTCCTGTGTTCATCATCTTTCTTTTCAGCTTCTACCTCTGGTTGAGGTACCAATCTTTCGAAAAGTTCTTTAGGCACATATTGTTTAAGTGGCACCTCCTTAAATGCTTTCCCACTGCTTAGATTAATTGCTTGCACTTGTTCAATGGGATTTTTCTTAGTATCACTTGGGAGTGTTCCAGTAGGTCGGGTATTTTGTTGTGCACCCAACCCCCCAATCCGCCTCTCTATATTTCAAAATTCAGTCCTCAAATGCTGGTTGTCTGTTCGAAGTTTCTGGTTGTCAATTAACAACTATTTCAACATATCATTGGTACTTTCTTCTACCTGTTATGGTGACTTTTGGGGCTGATTGTAGTTTCCTTGGTGTCTATACTGATTTTGAGTAGCCTGATTTCCACCCCTTGAGAAGTTCGGGCGATTCCTCCAATTGGGATTTTTCCATATTGTGCATTTTGGTTCATTGGACCTCTACCCTACTGGCCTACATAATAAATAAATTTTGGATTCACCGGACATTGGTCACTCGTGTGACCTTCTCCACAAATTTCACAACATACAACCATCCTCTGAACCTGCTGCATCTGATGCCCTTGACCCATTGCCATCTTAGCCACTTGGTTGGTTAGTTTAGAATCTTCTGCTTATATGGCTGACATCTCATCCAGTTCGAGAGTACCTAATGCTTTCTGTCTGATCATTCTTCTTGGTTCACCCTCACCTTGCCAGTTATGATCGTTTGTACTGAAATTATTCAGCAGGTTTTGAATCTCAATGTATGGCTTTTTCATGCAACTTCCTCCACAAGCTGAGTCTAGATTCAATTTGGAGGTCTCGGCCAACCCATCCACAAAAGCATGTCCCAAAACTTCATCAGTTTGACAGTGGCGAGGACGATCTTTGAGTAGCTTTTTATATCTCTCCCAGGCCTGACGTAGAGTCTCGCCATCTTTTTGTTGAAACCCCAAATTTTGGCTTCTCAATGACTTTGTTTTCTTTGTGGAAAGTATTTGATGAGGAATTTCCGTGCTAGATCATACCATGTGAGGATTGAGTTTGCCGGCTCTTTGCTTAACCATTCCTTTGCTTCCCCCCAGAGAAAAGGGAAACAAAGTTAGTTTGATGTAGTCCTTGGAGACGTTTAGATAGTTGTATGTATGAATAATCTCCAAATAATTATGTATATGCATTTGGGGATCTTCACTTGACAAACCCACAAATAACCCAGTGGATTGAATTAGTTGCACCATATACTATTTTAGCTCGAAGTGCCCAGTTATATCAGGTTTCACGATAGCCTGAGTCAAGTTGGTGAGACTAGGCCTTGCGGCCTCAATCACTAGTCTCTCATCATTTTCTGCCATCTCGTTTGGCTGTGGTTGGACTACAATGCTCAACTATGCAATTCTTGATCTTGATTCTACCTCCCTCCTTAACCTGTGGAAGAGTCTTTCAGGTCAGGATCAAAAGGCGGAAGATTGTTCAAACTGTTACTTCTTATTAGCATTCAATGTGAGCACCTGTAGAGTCAGACATAGTAAATCAAACTAAATCTCAAACAAAAACAAATAAAAGCTTATTTCAGACAAGTAGCTAATTTCTAAATCCTCGGCAATGGCGCCAAAAATATGTTGGGTCCAAACGCACACGCAAGTATACGTGGTCTACAAGAAATAAAGTGATAAGTAAGTATCATTCCCACGAGGATTTATGATCAACTACTGCCTAAACTAAACTAATTACGAGTTATTTGTTCAATAGATTTTGAGGAAGATGATTGTGATTTTTATGACTAAAAATTACTAAACAAACTAACAATTCAAAGGTGCAAAGCAAACTAGCAAACACTTAGAAGCAATTCAATAAGATGGGAATATTTCGGGGTTATGGGATTAATGTCTCTCATATTACGTTCTTCCTGTCGATTTCTAAAGGCGAAATCGGGTTTACGACATTTGGGCGGACAACTCTTTTTCTTTTGGGAATTGGGTTTGAGATTTAGAAGAGTCGCCACCTAATGATTAAGTGCATTAGGACACTAAGAAAGAAATAAAAAGAAGAAGAACCAGAGAATGGGTAAGGGCTTGAAATTATCTCGGGGGAAGGTGTTAGGCACCCCCCAAGATCCACTAGTGTGGTTCCCAGCCATGCTACAATTGTGACTTTAAATATAAACAACAAATAAACATACAAGACAATTCTCACATAAACGATTGCAAGTAGGGGAAGTATAAAAGTTAAATAAACGAGCTGAAATTTGGGACTAGGCGATTTCATAATTTATTTAAAGTATATACAAGTGCAGAAAAATGGGGGGTCAAATAATTGATGCAAATAATCAAACAAAGGGATGAGATGTGGCGGAAATTTGGGAGAGAAAAACAGTACTAGAAATTTAAAGAGATTTTAAATGATTAAAGCAAAGGACGAGGTTTAAAACAACTGAAAACTGACAGTTTTAAAAATTCCGAAAGAAAGAAGTAAACACATAAAGAGGGAGGGGGGGGGGTCCTAGGCTTATAAATAACATGGATCACCCATGCAACACCCGGTAACCAATTATACACGTGGTGTTATCGCGTGATCATCATATCCATGTCTACCCTTACCCACCCCGTTAAGGTACTAAAACGCGGAATGGTCTCGTTACTTATTGCATGCTACTACCCGCCCCAATCCTATCAGTCCCGGAGACAGTTGAGACTACTAATACTAGAGGGAAGTGATATTGGCTTTTGAAGTAAAAAAGGACAAAATCTAGTGCGACAAACAAAACACATAAGAGCAGTTAAGGGGAAAACACATAGCAGTTAAGGCTCAAATAGGCCTCCTCATTCAAAGCAGAAATTGTTTAGCATGACTTACAAGTACCGGTTAGGTCTTTAATTAAAATTACGTAAAGGGGGTGGCTGATTTATTACATATTTTTAGATAAGAAGTCCGAATTAAGCCTGGCTGCTGGTTGTAATTATTAAAGACTGGTATAGTTAATTGATTACCTAATGGTTTGCCTAGGTGAAACCTATAGGCACGATATCTAACAAGGTCAAACATACTAATTTTAAAGAAGATTGCTGACTTTCGAAATAAACCAATTCTGTGGATATTAAAAACATTATTATTGATATTAGACTTGCGGATGAATCACATTTAAACGATTGCTCCCATAGGCATGAATTCTAAGCGTTACTGATTTTAAAACGGTTATGTAAGTGCAGGAATCCTATGGGCATGGTATCTAGGATGCAATTGATTATTCCTTTACCTATGGATTGTTTGCCTAATGACATGTGTATATGCAGAAGTGCAAAAAACTTATAGACGTAATTTTTAATGAAATGCATAACTTATAGGCAGGATTTTAAATGCAGTAATGAAACAACTTATAAGCGGGATTTCTAATGCAGTAATGAAACAACTTATAGGCAGGATTTCTATATGCAGATGCATAAACTTATAGGCAGGATTTCTATATGCAGATGCATAAACTTATAGGCAGGATTTCTATATGTAGATGTATAAGCGAAAAACAGGCTGTAATTGCAGAAATAAATACCTAAAGCATGATGTCTACCCACATGCATAATATGACTGACCCTCCCCTTTACACTATACACCCCATAAGTTATTACAAATTATTACAACCCGAATGAATTAAGAAAAATAAAAATTACATCAGAAATTAAAGTCCCAACCAAGGAGAGCCTAATTCAGACTCCTAGTCTGAAACATGAAATAAACCAACTTCCGAAGATCAGATTTCCAAAGCCTTTCTCATCCTTTGGGTGTGTCAAAGTTCCAAGGAGCTTCATGAACTCCAGGCAGTGCTTACACCCAATTACATTTGCAAGATCAGATTATAGTGCAGTGTGGAAGGGCCACCCCTCAAATGTCCAAGTTCAGAGGGAACTCAAAGTCCACAAGGCAAGGCTCATAGGAGGGGGGCAGAACATAGAGTCTAGAATAAGTGTAAGTGCAATAGAGGGGGAATTAGGGAAAGCCATGACAAACTAGTGGTCATGCCCAGCAATTAGGATGCTGGCACACCCCTGACCAGCCTATCAGCTTGAATTTGGGAGTTAGGACCTATTGAAGGTCATGTTCAGACCTGGGCAGTAATTTGGATACTGCCAGGCCATGAACTTTAACTCAGCACACAAAAGGGAATGGGTGTATGGGGGATTTATAACAAGTAGTAAACATAAAAGGGAGTAATATACAGAACATGAGCAGCAAGGTAGACAGGAATAGAGCAACTGTAAAGTAAACACATAGGGAAAGAGCTGAAATCAAAATTGAGACATACCAGTTTTAGGGGAAACAAATAAGTAAAACAGCAGTCTTGAAAAGCCAAGTTGCAAGCAAAGCAGTACAAAAGTCTCAGCAGGGAGTAGAGAGTTTAAAAGAGTATTGTGACTGAAAGTATGTGTGTGAGAGTATGCAATTCGTAATGTGAATTGGTTTGTAAGTGTTCAACCGAGGGTAAGGTTGTGTCAGTGCAGAAGGGTCGTGCCCCTTTTTATAGTGCAGAAAACAAGTAAGAAAAGGTAAGAAAATAGTTTGCAATCAATCACAAAGAATCTCCCTTCAGTTAAGGGGTTCTAATTTCAAACGGGTAGAAGACAATCAAGGAAAGAAATTTGATTGAAATCTTGTCCAAAGTAACACAAGAAGGGTAAGTACACATGAGTTATTTAAGGCAAAGTTCAGTGGTACACGGTTTGTGAAAAATAAGGAAAGGGAATCAATCAGACAGCCAGTGAAATCAAAATCACCGGCTTTGTTCGAATGAACCAAGCCAGGAAAAAAGTAAAGAGGGTTCAATTAGAGAAAATCAGTAGCAATCAATCAGACCTTATTAAAAGAAATTCGGAAACAATCAATGGTTAGCAAAACCCTTTTGCAAGAAGAAATCCTCATATATAAAGTACACAGATATCAAACAAGAAAGGGTTGTCATGCAAATTAGAAAAGACAAGCATAGAAAGGTTCAGAATCACAAGCAAAGCATTTCATATTCAGTTCATAATACTTAGGGTGATCTGATAGTCCGGGGTTCCAAAGCAGAACCCTAATCAAAATTGCCAAAGAAACCCCCAAATCCTAGGGTTTCAAATCGAATTAGACATTGAGATGAGAAGGCAAGCCATTGAAAGAGACTCAAAGGTCTGTTTCAGAGCCTTATGAGAAACAAAACAGATATGATAGCAGGTTTGAAACAACAAAGAAAGAAAGCTGATTTAAGAGCATGAAAGAGCATTTTTTAGAAAAGTCGGAACTCAAGCAAGTTCAGAAGAAAAGAGAGGTGGTGTAAACTTAAGCAACAGTAGATGAAACATGCTTAGCAAGGACACAAACAGAGTCCAGTAAAGCAAACAAAATCCATGAACTCAACAGTAAACACATATAGTAGAAGAGTAAGGAAAACATAACAAGGATTAGCATGTGATCACATGAGTAACATGTATAGTAGAAAAAGAAGAAGCAGAAGAACAACACACGCGTTGTAAAAAAGAAAACATACGAGCATAATATAGACAAACACACATGAAGGAAAGAACATAAAGAATCAGAAAGATATTTTGAAAACCCTTTCAGAAACCCTAAA